CCCCCATTTGCTTGGTTGCCTTTTCTGTTGATGATTTCCTTTGCTGTGCAAAAGATTTTTAATATTTTTTCTTTTGTTTCTTGTACCTGAGGATACAGAGCCAAAATTTATTGCTAAGACTGATGTCAAAGAGTATATACTTCCTGTTTTCTTCTAGGAGTTTTATGGATTTAAATCTTATATTTAGGCCATTAATCTGTTTTGAGTTTATTTTTGCAGATGGTGACCCAGTGTCATTCTTCTGCATGTGGCAATCCAGTTTCCCAACACCATTTTATTGAAGAGATTGTCTTTCTCCATTGTCTGTTATTGGCTCCCTTGTCATAATAAAGTGATGATAGAAGCATCTATTCCATTCCACTGATCTATGTGTCTATTTCTGTGCCAGTACCATACAGTTTTGATTCACTGTGCTATACAGAAGAAAGTAACACAACACTGCAAATCAACTATACTCCAATTTTTTTTAAAAAGAATCATACAGTTTTGTTTACTCTCTTTGCAATACTGTTTGAAATGAGGAAGTTTGAAGTTCTTTGTTCACCTTTCTTAAGATTGCTTTGGCTATGTGGGGTCTTTTGTGGTTTCATACAAATTTCAGGGTTATTTCAGTTCTGTGAAAAATAACATTAGCATTTTGATAGGGATTTTATTGACTCTGTAGATTGCTTTGAGTCGTATAGTCATTTTAACAATCTTAATTCTTCCAGTTCATGGAGACAATGCATCTTTCCATCTATTTGTGTCATCCTCAGTTCCTTTTATCAGTGCCTTGAAGAAAAGCTACGACCAACCTAGACAGCATATTAAAAAGCAGAGACATTACTTTGCCAACAAAGGTCCATCTAGTCAAAGCTATGATTTTTCTAGTAGTCATATATGGATGTGAGAGTTGGACTATAAAGAAAGCTGAGCGCCGAAGAATTGATGCATTTGAACTGTGGTGTTGGAGAAGACTCTTGAGAGTCCCTTGGACTGCAAGGAGATCCAACCAGTCCATCCTAAAGGAGATCAGTCCTGAATATTCATTGGAAGGACTGATGCTGAAGCTGAAACTCTAATACTTTGGCCACCTGATGCGAAGAACTGACTCATTTGAAAAGACTCTGATGCTGGGAAAGATTGAAGGTGGGAGGAGAAGGGGACAACAGAGGATGAGATGGTTAGATGGCATCACTGACTCGATGGACATGAGTTTGATTAAACACTGGGAGTTGGTGATGAACAGGGAGGCCTGGTGTGCTGCAGTCCATGGGGTCACAAAGAGTCAGACACTACTGAGAGACTGAACTGAATTGAAATTTAGTTTTTTGAGTTGTTTTTGTTGTTTAGTCGCTGTGTCTGACTCTTTTGTGACCCCATGTACTGTAGCCCACCAGGCTTCCCTGCCCATTGAATTTCCCGGTTAAGAATACTGGAGTGGGTTGCCATTACCTTCTCCAACGGGTTTTCCTGACCCAAGGACTGAACCCATGTATCCTGCATTGGCAGGGAGATTCTTTACCACTGAGCCACATGGAAAGCCCAGTTTTCTGAGTACAAGACTTTTGTCTCCTTAGTTAAAGGCTCACATATAACAACTTATGTATAGAACAGTCTCTTAAGTTGGTGGTCACTTAAGTTTGAGAACGTTCTACAAGTATTACACTTTTACCTTCCTTTCCTTCATTTTATGTTTCTGACATCATATTTTACATCTTTTTATTTGTGCATCACTTAACTAATTATTTTAGTTATAGATAATTTTACTACGTTTTGTCTTTTAAAATTAACATTAACTTTCTTGGTAGTTGATTCACTACCTTTACTATATGTTTGCCTTTACAATGGAGATGTTTTTCTTTCATAATTTTCTTATTTCTAACTATGGCCTTTTCTTTTCCATTTAAAGAAGTTTTTTGTTTTGTTTTTTAAACATTTCTTGTACAGCCTGTTTAGTAGTAATGAACTCCTTTACAAGCTTTCTCTTTACTGGGAAACTCTTTATGTCTCCAATTCTGAGCGATGACCTTGTTGGGTAAAGTATTCTTGGCTGTAAATTTTTTTCTTTCAATACTTTCAATATTTCATGCCACTCCCTTCCCACCTATAAAATTTCTGCTGAAAAAACAGCTGATAGTCTTATGGGGGTTTCCTTGTATATAATGAGGTTTTTTTTCTTGCTGTTTTTAAGATGCTCTCTTTAATTCTTGACATTTTAATTATAATGTGTCTTGGTGTGGACCTCTTTGGGTTCGTCTTTATGGGGGGTTCTCTGTGCTTCCTGGACTTGGATGTTTATTTCCTTTGACAGGCAAGGGGAAGTTTTCAGACATTATTTCTTTAAGTAGGATTTCTGTCCCTTTCTCTCTCTGTCTTCTTCTGGGACCCCTGTGATGCAAATGGTAGTACTCTTGATCCAGAGGTTTCTTAAACTATCTGATTGTTTAAAGTTCAGTTTTCTTTTCAGTGTTTTGATTAGGTGATTCCCACTGTTCTTCCAGACTGTAGTCTTTCAGACTGCTGATCTATTCTGCATCCTCTAATCTGCTGTTCATTCATTCTGGTCTATTTTTCATTTCAGTTATTATATTCTTCAGTTCTGATTGGTTCTTTTTTCTTATATTTTCTCTCTTTGTTGTAATTATTACTGAGTTCATCCATTGTTTTCTCAAGTCAGTGGGCATCTTTATGACTGTTACTTTGAACACTTTATCTTGTAAATTGCTTATCTTTGTTTAATTTAGCTCCTTTTCTGGTGTTTTGTCTTTTTTTTTTTTTTTAATCACTTGAAAGGTATTCCTTTGTCTCTTTATTTTGCCTAACTCTCTGTGCTTGTTTCTATGTATTAGGGATGTCGGCTACATCTCCTAGTTGTAGAAGTTATGTAGAAGGTGCGGCTCAATGGTGCAATTGCCCCTGGTCACCAGAGCACTGCTGCGGGCCTGCTGATGTGTGGAGCTAGCCTCCAGTGCAACTGGCTTCAAGGCCAGGCTGGGACTACTGTGAGTGCTCTGTGGTGTGAAGCTGGCCCCCTAAAGTGGGAGCTGCTTTGGAGGGGTGCTGGTGCCAGCTAGGGCTGCCCTCTGGGTAGGGCAGGGCAAGAAGTATTTTGGAGGGACTAGCTGGAGTCAGTCCTCAGAGGAGCATCAGGGTGGGGCATACAGTGTCAATTTGGTGGAGAGTGACAGAAATGGTGTCTGCCAGTGCTTCCATTCCCAGAGGAAGTTCCTCCAGATCCCTGTCCCTCCAGCACATGCCTTAAAATTCATCAGTGAATCTCCTTCTCCTGTGACCCAAGCACTTTTCAAGCTGCTGCCTCTGTGCTAGAAGTTAGAGCGAATGAATGTGTATGCAAAGAGTAGAGTCCCAGATTCCCACAGCCCTCCAGCTCTCCTGAACGAAAGCCTCATTGGTTTTCGAATCCAGGAGTTGTGGGGGCTTGTCTTGCCCATGCACGTCCCACTGACTGGGGAGCCTGATGTGAGGCTTCAACCCCTTGCTCTTCGGGGGGACTCTCTGCGGCTGTGACATCCCTCCTGCTTGTGGGTTGCCGCACTGGGGGTGTGGGTTTGACTAGACTGTGTCTCTGTTCATCCTACATGGGTCCCTCACTGTGTCATTTTCTTTCTGTCCTTAGTTTAGAAAATCTGCTCTGCTAGACTTCAGGTTGTTCTCGGAGATCATTGTTTTGTAAGTAGCTGTAGTTTCGGTGTGTCCACGGAAGGATGAGAGCTCAGGATCTTCCTACCCTGCCATCTAGATCTGGACCTCTCCATAATCGATTTTTAATGCAAAAATAACTTCCCTCTGTTTGCTCAGAACGCTGCACCCCCTTCAAAGAGACAGGAAGTGCAGTGTCTGAGACCGGGCACTGTAGGCCTGTCCTTGGTGGTCAGTACCTGGTCGAGGCAGAGGGTGATGAACTGGGTGCCTGGCCTCAGTCCAATGTACCACACATTTCTGATCACCCAAGACCTAGCTATTTTCCATGGTCATACTGCCATGGTAATAATGAAAATGTTATTATTTTTCACAATTATAATTGATTTTTAGCCCATTAAAAATGTCTGGTAAAAGCAAATCAACATGTATTCCCATAACCTAAAGTGTTTCTGGGTACTCATTCTGTCCTCAGCCCTTTGGCCAGCGCAGCATTCCCCAAGTGAGCTTGTGAGCTCTGAAGGCAGTGGGCACACACTCTTCTCATGAGGTGAGAAGCCAATCTCTGCTAGAGTCAGGTATAATCACACCAAGACCACTCCCCAGGCACTTCCCTGGCTGTTTAGTAATTAAGATGCTGCCCTTCCACTGCAGGGAACATGGGTTTTGGTTTGATTCCTGGTCAGGGGAACTAAGATCCTGCATGCCCACATGCCTTGCAGCCAAAGGAAACCAAACACCATGGCTCTCTTCCCCTGCTCCATCCATTGGCCATTCCAGGTCCTGAGGCTTGGTGTGCCTTGAGGTTAATTCCCTCCCTCCTTTCTATTTGTCTTTGATTCATTGAATAGAAGGGGACAGGGTGTGACCAACCTCCAGTCCCATCGAGCACATAGTAGGCAGTGCACAGAGAAATCATCATAAAAAACATTTTCTTAACTAATTAGCACTTTGCATCTAGAGCTTCCCATTCAAGCTATCTGTACGATATGGGGAAATAACTACTTCTGATAAGGACTCTCTACTACTTAACAAGGTCTTTTCCCTTTCTTTTCCCTTTTAAAACACTAATGGGAATTAGTGTTGGCCTCAGTTCAAGGTGCCACATATTTCTAATTACCCAAGACCTAGTTATTTTCCATGGCTGGAAGTCTATGGCAATACCAAAAATATTATTGTTTTTCAAAATTTATGTTACTACTGAGTTTTAGCCCATTGAAAACATCTAGTATACAAGTAAACCAACAAGCACTGCCATAAAGCTAAGGAGTTCCAAGGTGTTCACTCTGCCCCAGGCCCTTTGGCCAGCATACGCGCTCCCCGTGTGAGCTGCTCTTGGTCAGTGCCGGCCAGCTTACCTGTGAGGCAGATACCCCTGGTACTGTTGCACAGGTCCACCATCACTCGGATCTGTGGGGAGAGAGCTCCATTACCAGCAGCACGGCAGGCAGTAGACCCTGAACTTGCTCTTTATTCAGACAAGCAGAAAACAATCATAAAAATTTCCAAAATAGCCTCAGAAGAATAGGTAGAAGTGAGAGGAAAAGTTAACCTAAAACTGAAAAGACACCCCTGAAAGATCTAAAGATAAACATTTTTCTTGTATCAGCAACTATTTCCATAGACATCATCAACAGAATCTCTTTGATTTCTATCAAACCCTGAGAAGGCAGAGGATGGGGGAGGAACAGCCAAATCTAAACCCAAGCTGGCTCCCCACTGTCTGAAGGGCTCAATCTATGGATCTGAATAAACAGGACTGGTGAACTTAGCAGTCTGAAGCACATACTTAACTCTGTGGGTAGGTATGGGTAAGGTACTTGACTCCTTGACGTTTTGTTTTCCTCTGAAAATGTAAATTATATGAATAAGCTGCCTTTAGGGTTAGGGAGCTCCATGCATGGCGTGTGGAAACTGCCCTTAGAGCAGTGATTCTCATGTCATGGGGACGCTGCTTACTTGCCATTGGATGGCCATCTGGAGTGCGTGGTCACTGCACCATGCTATCAGCCTGACACAAGATTCCCACACAACATTTTACAGTCCTCCCCCCATTCGTTTTCCATGCTGTTGCTTGTGAGCTTCACAATACCCAAATTTGATCAGGTCAGCCCTGATTCAATCACTTTGGTGATGCCTTGCTGCTCTAAAGATACAGCAAAATTCCTCCGTATCTGGCCTCATCTCACACCATCCCCCTCTCTTTCTGTTCTCTAGTTCCACTTCCATAGTGGCTTAGTGATAAAGAATCTGCCTGCCAATGCAGGAAATGCAGGTTCAATCTCTAGGTCAGGAGGATCCCCTGGAGAAGGAAATGGCAACCCACTCCCATATTCTCGTCTGGAGAATTCCATGGACAGAGGAGCCTGGTGGGCTACAGTTTTGGCTATAGTCCATGGGGCTGCAAAAGAGTCGGAGACGACTTAGAGACTAAAACACAAATTCCATTCTGTCTCAGTTTGCTTATCTGTGAGATGGGGCTATTAGTAGTACTTAACATCTTAGGATTGCTGTGAAACTTAAGGGAAGTTATATATGAAGTTCTTAGAACAGTTCCTTGGATGTAGGAAGCATACACAAGAGTGTTTTCTATTTTTTGAAGGCAGCATAAAGTACAGATGAAGGCATGAATCCTGAAGTCAAACTGCTTGTGTTCAAATCACGGCTTTGTCATTCACAAATAGTATGACTTCGGGGAGGTTACTTAACCCCTCTGTGCTGCAGCATCCTTGGCTATAAAGGCGCTGACACTACCTACCTTACTTGTAGCACGGTTATGTGGATACATGATTCAATACATGTAGTGCACTCACAACAGCGCCTGCTATGGGATAAGCAAACTCTATCTATGCTATTGTTCTGATAGTCTCTTGGATATGCCAGGGATGATTTAATTGATTAATTTATCTAAGAATTTCATACATAGGGAAATTTTTAAACCCAAGTAAGGTGGCATTTCAAAACTGTGGGAAGAAACCTTATCAATTGGGAAATGGAGTTGAGACAGCTGGATACACATCTAGGGAAAAACATAAATACAAATCCCTATTTCACTCCTTACACTAAAAAAGTTAATTGAACAGCATTAGTTGAAAATTTTAAAGTTAAAAACAAACTAGTAAAAATACTGAAGGAGATCTTGGGAAAAATATTTATAATGGTATTAGAGTAGGAAAGACTTTTCTAAGGAAGAAACAATCCCCATACTATGCATAGGGAAAATGTGATAAATTCGACTGTCTAATAATTAAACATTTCTATAAGACATAAAATACTATCAACAATAACAAAGGCGAAACACAAACTTAGAAGAATAATTATGCAAAGAGCTTATATACAAAGAGTTGCCACAAAGCAATAAGTAAAGGAACAAAAAAATAAAGGAAAATGGGCAATGGATCCAGGCAGAAAGCTCAAAGAAGAAAAATAAGAGAGTGTCTTATCTTCACTTGTAGTTGAAGAAACACATCAAATTATGAAATACTATTTTAACCTTTTTGGTTTGTAAATAAAAACAGAGTACTTCTCACAAGGGTATCAGGAAAGGAGCACTCTCATACTGTGTTGATGGAAATGCAAAGGGACACTGCCTCTTTGGAGGGCATTTTGACAATACCTACTAAAATTTAAATGGATCTTTTGACCCATTATATTTTATGAGTTATTCTACAGATAGACTCATGTATGCATGAGAAGATACATGTACAAAGATGGTTATTTTAGAAATGTGGGCAAGAGCAAAAGTTAGAAACAACCTCAATATTTATCACTGAAGTCTGGTTAGAGAAATTGTAGCATATTCATACAATGAAATACTGTGGAAAAGACTAAATTTAAATCCATAAAGCCAATATTGAAAGATCTCTAAGATAGATGAAAAAAAACAAAAAACCAAGATATAGAGCAGCATGTATAACATGCTTTCATTTAACTAAAAAAGTAGTACATATGAAAATGCTTCTATACACTTTCTCTCTTGCTACTTTCCAGATTCTCTCTTTGTCTATGACTTTCTAGACTATTTCTGGAGAGAACTCTAAAAAGGAGAACTAAAACCTAAAAACTCCTCCTCAAGTAAGGAGGAGTAGAGAGCCAGTGTGGGAGGGAGCTATACGAATGCCCGCACTTAATAAAACAAAATGCACTTTTGTTTTATTCAAAAATTATGCTGATTTCTCTCTCAAACTCTTTTTAAAGAAAACTTGTTTTGATTTGAAGGGAAAATTTGTTTTGTTTTCTACCTAGGTTTATTTTGTTTGCTAGGGGGCCTGGAGGCAGATTTGTACTGTATTCACTGTTTGTGAAGTGCCACAGGTGCTTGCTGACTACTTTAGGAATTTATTGTGAAATATATCATACATACCACAAGAATATAAAATGTGTGCCAACAGTATAAGATGAATAATAAAACAAACATCCATATACTACCTCCAGCCAAGCAATGCATTAGGAAATCCCAGGTGTCCCTCCCAACACAAACCATTCCCTCCTAGCCGCCAAAACTCTCTGATCTGAAGTATGTTGGGCAGTGGGACTCTCCCTTTTGTATAGATAAGAACAGAGAGGCTTAGCAAGGTGATGTCATTCACTCAAGGTCACATAGCTTGCTTGTGGAAAAGCTGGGCTCAACTCCAGGTTTCCTGATTCCAGGTCTACTGTATTTTCTATTGTGACTCAGATGAGCATTATAACATAGCCAGATGAAATTTTGATTCACTGCTTTTAGTCATTTTCATAAATTAATGCAATCAGCTGCACTACAAAATTTATGATTTTAAAATATGCATAATTGTTCACTGAGAGAATCATTAGAGACTTCATAAATGCCTCATTTGTTGCCTGGAGGATCACAGCAGGAGAAGTAGTTGGAAATAACAGAAGCATCAATAGGGAAAATTAACCTTTCTCTCTTTTATGTTCATCACTGGTCTGGAGTTAGCATAGCTTCTATAAAAGCGATAAAGAAGGAGTTTTCATTTCCTGACCTTTTGGCTTCATTTATATGCTAAAAGTTAATTTAGATATTTACAAGTAAATTGTGTCAATCTTCACTTGGGAATATTCTTTAACAAACATGGTTTATATAAGATTGTATCAAAGTAAAACATGGTGTGTAAAGGTATGACCATAAGAAAGCCAGAAACTTTTTTTTTTCTGATAATAATGCTTAACAGTTTGGATGAAAATCAGAAAATTAAAAATTGAAAGTCATAAAACCTAACTTGTCAAGTTAAGGAGTCATATTTGGTATACCAGGCTTTCTAGATCTTCATTTAGGATTTGAGAAAGGTGAACTGAAAACAGCCTTAGAACTCATAGCCCTGGGGGTGTCAGGCAGGATCCATGCAGGACGTGGCCCTGCCCTCTCTCAAGGCCATCTACACCCACTCCACCACTGTTTGACTCCAATCACACTGACCATCACCACTGGTCTTTGCCAAGCTGTGCATAGCAAAGAAGTTCTTGTTATAAACTGTGCTCACATCTTCAGAGGCCTCAGCGCAAATGTCACCTCGTTAAGAAGGCTTTCCCTGACTCCACACCTGAGAGTAACCCTAGCAGCCAGTCCCCATCACCTCAAGGCTTTCAGCCTTTGTAGCACTCACTGTTATCCAATATTAGCTTGGCTTCTGTATGCATCTGTTTATTACCTAGGCCTGTTCTCCAAAGAATGAAGGCATTTTGACAGCAGGAGAATTTGCTATTTTGTCTGTATCCCTGTGCACAGAACAGTACCTGTTTCCAGACCTAGAGCTTTTCCACTGGTGAGATAGGGTTCAAGTAGGAAAGTATGTCAATGGTCTCCAAAGGACAGCTTGTCTTGAGAGCAGGTGACAACGGCTGTCAACCTGGGTGTAACATAAAGAATGGTACCCCCAGATAGCTTAGGTCAGGAGTTTTGCTGAGGAGGTGGGGCCATCCTCCCAGAAGAAATGCTGTGGCATCTCAGGATCACCTTGAGGTCATGCTGCACTGGACGAAGACATATCACAATACATGGGGACTTGCTTTCAACTTTTATAGCATATGGCAGCAATGCTGCCATAGAAGAGACATAGAAGAGACAGCCCAAATGGGTCCCATCTGTGGCCTGACCAGATCTCCTAGTTTTCTCTCTGGATACAGAACTGGTCTCACTGGATCAGTAGAACCCATGGAATCTTGGGCAATTCAGGGGCAAGGAAAGAGCCTCTGAAGAAAAATAATGGACTTCTTGCTAATTTGGCATCAGATGGCTTGCGCTGGCTTTAATTCAAACTAAAAATAGATGGGACTAATTTGGCAGCCTCTATGAGAAAGAAAATGCTATGAACTGGGAACCTCGCTTGTAAGAAGATTATACAAGGATATCTGACGAGAATGTTCATCTCTACACAGTGATGGCAAAAGCATGCAAAAAATCTAAACGT